TTAGGGTATATACCTAGTAATGGGATGGCTGGGTCAAATGGTATTTGTATTTCCAACTTTTGAAGGAGAATTAAGTTATTTTTTATGTACCTTATTCCTCATGGCCTTCTGGGGCCTGAGTCTAAGTAAAACAACACCATCATGATAAATGTGTGGAAGACTTAGTCACATAAGAACAGACCTGTGGACAGCAATTTTATCATGTGTGTCTTTAAGGATTTCAGTTCTTATTTAAATGACTGTTATGAATTTGGAGGAAAAAGAAAAGAGACTGAAAAATCGCCTATAGGAGATTCTGTGTCATGTGAAGTGAACTTTTTGGAGACTTGAAACAGCATTTCTATGAGTATTTAATCCATGTTCTGGAATATTGGCATTCTTCCCTAAATAAACATTTCAGTACCATTGCAGTGGTGCTGGGGAACTGAACAGTGGGCTGTAGTATTCCATCTTGAAATAGAAAACCAGAAGTAATGAAAATAATGCTTGAATCTTACTAGGATACTGGTGATAATTTTAATTATTAGCTAATTTTTCAAATAAAGAACAATTTAGAAATAAACATTTTAGCTTAGCTTGGATCTAATATAGAAGAATGCATTTATTCTGTCAGGATATCAAATATTTTGAAAAAGCCATCTAGGTGTAAGTTTGAAGGGTGAAGGAGAAGGGAGGGTGGGAAAAACTCTAATTAGAGAGTCTGTCTGCAAGGGTGACACTCTCAGTTATTAGGGTCATTCTTGTTTTACCTCTCTTCACCCAATCGTTGGTAAATTGAGAGAAGCTTTTTTCCTGTGCTCCCGTTGGTAGCTACGAAACCCCTGAAATCATACATGAAAAGTTTTGCATGTAGGTGCATTGTTGGGAAGGGGAAGTCTGTGGTTTTCAGTAGATAATAGAGATCTCAGATCCCCAATGTCCGTAGGAGTTAAGATCCACGCTTCCGGGCTGTTTTATCCGGTCATGCCAAATGGTTCGGATTAAAGCTGTCACATCCATGGAGGCCCTCTTACACGCTTCTTGTCAGCAGACTTCTGTGGATGAGCAAGATTTAGCACTGGTAGATAATGATGCTGTGGTAAACCTATTTTTTATTTTTTTAAAGAGATAAGTTTGTTTTGTATTTATGAAATTTCTCTTCATTACTTTTCTCTTCCAAAGTCTTGTCTCACTTATATGTATTATTTTTCCTTTATCTTTTCTTATCTCTTTTATGACTTGTTATCTTTAGCTTATTTGACTTTTTCTCCTGCACATATTTATAATGGCTCTTTCTCCAGTTGCGTATCCTAATTAATAGGGTCCGGCTCTTGTGGCACCCAGTATGGCATTCTATAGACAGTGAGTGATTAATAAGTGTCATTAACTGACTGATTCATTGCAGACATAGTGATGTATGGAAAACTTCCTGTGGAGACTTGCTTACTAATTTTTAATTACTTCTGCCTCTTATTGCTAACCGGTGGGATGATTTGAAGGCTGTAACTGTTACTTTGTGACTCTTGGGTAGTTCCTATGTAAATATAATTTTATTATACTTGAACTGAAAAATGTTCTTTGATCGCTTTAAAAGTAGAATGAAAGCAGTAATTCATCGATTAGATCCTTTCTGTTTTTGCATTTTGTAGTGGAATCTAAGTCTATTGTTTATTTTACAGTGAAGGAAATAAACCTGCAGGAGATCAAAGAGGATTTGGAATTGGATCCGGAAGAGAACAGTGCCCTCTTCATGGGCATCCTCATCAAGGGGCTCGCCAAACTGAAGAAGATCCCAGAGACAGTGAAAGCAATCAAGGAGCGCTTGGAGCAAGAGCTGAAGCAGATTGTGAAGAGGTCTACGACCCAGGTGGCCGACAGTGGCTACCAGAGAGGAGAGAACCTCACTGGGGAGAACCAGCCAAGGTAGTTGGGGTGCACTTTGTGTTACTGATAACTCTATTATATATTTTCTTGGTTGGGGAAGTAAGTAAATGTGGTCTCTGTTCATGTTATTTTGTCGAACTGTTGCCGTCGAGTCTATTTCAGGTCATGTGGTGGTGTTGTTATGTGCCATCGAGTCAGACCTGACTCACAGCGACCCCTCCTTGGGTTTCCAAGGTGGTATCACTACGGAAATAGATTGCCCAACCTTCCTTCCGAGGAGTGGCTGGTGGGTTTGAACCACCAGCCTTCTGGTTAGCAGTCAAGTGCCTTA